AGCCATCAAAAGGAATGAAATCTTGCTGTTTGCAACAACGTAGATGGAACTGGAGGGTATTATGCTGAGCGAAATAAGTCAATCAGAGAAAGACATGTATCATATGACCTCACTGATATGAGGAATTCTTAATCTCGGGAAACAATTGTGTGAATTGTGTTAAGACTGTTGAATCACAGACCTTTACCTCTGAAACAAATAATACATTATATGTTTAAAAAAAAAAGAAGAAAGTAGGAAGGGAAAAATGAAGGGGGGGAATCGGAGGGGGAGATGAACCATGAGAGACTATGGACTCTGAGAAACAAACTGAGGGTTCTAGAGGGGGGGGTGGTGTTGGGATGCGTTAGCCTGGTGATGGGTATTAAAGAGGGCACTATTGAATGGAACACTGGCTGCTATACGCAAACAATGAATCATGGAACACTACATCAAAAACTAATGATGTAATGTATGGTGATTAACATAACATAATAAAATAAAATAAAAAAGAAAAATTTTATCCTTGATTTTTAAAATAAGTAGCTTAATTTGATGAAGTTAGGAAAATCTGCAACCTGTGTAACCTGTTGATACAGTAAACAGATTATATAGACTATTTTCTTTCCACCATCTTCTTGAAAAAAATTGCTGGTTAACCTGAACCACAAGGCAGAAAACTACAGAAAGTTTTTCTCTTCTTTGCTTTCACAGACTTGAAGGATTACTTATATAACTTCTAATAGCTATTCTACATTTTTTGGCAACTTTACTGTAACCTGATTTATTGAAAAACCATTTACAAAGCCATCAAAAATCATACACAAAGTCTTCTAAGAGCTTGAGGAAATGTCAAATTGCAAAGATAACTATTTATTCTATTCACTTAGAACATTCAACCAAACAGTTGGGACTTTTGAAGAACTCCAAAAGTACCTTGAAGGGTATGTGGCAAACCTGAACCGTGATGATGAGAAAAGACATGCGAAGTAAGTGGAGCAGTATTTTCCTCAGCTGCATGTGACTTCTGGCAAGTGTGTGTGATTCGCTCTGTGGTAACTTTCAGTGTGCCGCCACTAGAAAACTGGGGGCAGTTCTTTTAAATTGTTCTTGCACAAAGAAGATGCCACTTACCACTAGTATGGATGTTACTTTAGTCTGGAAGTAGTCAGCTTCTTATTTTGGGTTGATGAGTAGTAACGTGAGGGAGACATTTCCTGAGAGGGGGCATTGGGAAATGGTTGCTTGACATTGTCTTTCCAATGTCAAAAGGATGTTATTCAGAAATGAAGCCTATATTGCCCCTGGAAATCAAACAGGAATGCCAAGGCACTAGAGTAACCAGTTCATTCTGATTCCAGGTAAAGAGCTAGGAGGAGAGGCAGAATTATTTCAGAATATAAGGGAGCTGTTGCCCCGGGCTGTGTGTGTGTGTGTGTGTGTGTGTGTGTGTGTGTGTGTGTGTAGGAAGGAATTGGGTTGGACTAAATACAGTAATACTGATGAAAAATGTTGTGCTTAAGAGAAAAACTACTTTGTAAAATTAAAATTGTTTGAAAATCCTTTACAGTTTGTAGAGTAAATACTTAAGCATATATTCACCAGGTAGTACTAATGAAGCTGGAGTCCAAAGTTCTAGAAAACTGACATTTGAGTTAAATTAGAACATTCAGTCAGGACCTCCTAAGTTTTTTGTTTTTGTCTTTTTATGCAAGGAATATATTTGCAGTTTTTATGTTCTTAAAGACCTTTTGTAGTAAGAACAATTTATGAATATATATATATATATATATATATATATATATATAATATAGGTCAGAGCAGTGTATCTTAATTAAAAGAGAAAAATGAGTATTTCCAAACAATGATACTTAGACATAAAGTAAGAAATGTATCTTTCATGTTTTACTAAGCAGTCATTCTGGTTCAGCCATGGAAAGCTTCAAAACCTGACAAAAATAGCAAAACACAGCAAAAATTCTGTGTGCCATTCTCCTGTGTACATAGTCAAAGGAATGGCTCACTGGTTTTACTTCCTCTCACTGACTCTTAAAAAAACACACACATATTTATTGAGATATACTTTAAATACTACACAGTTCAGCTCTTTTAACCTCTCATTGATTCAGTTTGACATTTATCTATTATTGTGTATGTGTGAGAATTTTTTTGTTTGTTTATTCTATTGTTTTCCTCCCCAGATGTAACTAAATCTGATCCTATAAAAGTTGAGATAGCCTTTGTAGCAATTACGGGCAGTAATTCTGGCAGAAATAAGACTATTGTACGAGTGGAATTTATGTGTGTCATGACCCTGGCTTGACTAAGGGGGTGTATGCAAAGTTTCACTTTTCTTATACAGGAGATCCATGTCTAACTGGAAGCTGTCCAAAGCACTCTCTCTGGAGATGATTCAGCTGAAGGAGAAGGTGGCCAGATTTTCCTCATCATCCCCATTCCAGAACCTTGAGATTATCGCAACACTGGGCGTTGGTGGGTTCGGAAGAGTTGAGCTTGTAAGGGGTTTACGTTTCAAGCATCTGAGAGAAGCCTTTTGACTTTTTTTGTTTTATATTCCAGTGTATCTTGGAGGAACGTATGAATTGTTATTGCTGTCTTAAATGTTGCTTTGAACTGAAATTAAGAAAGTACATTTTTCACTGTGCGTGTTGTATAGTAGCAGGTCTATGCTAATAAGTCACTTGTAATAATATAGCTGTGATTTCAAGCTTCTGTGTCACATCCTTTTGTGAATCCTTTTCTTGATTATAATTACTGGAGAATGTACGAAGTAAGTGTTCCCAGAGGCTCTAAATCATTACAAATGTATTTTCTAAGAGGAAAATGTGTATACACACACACTCATGACATGTTAACTATATACTAAAGAAAAGAAGAATGTGTCCAGTGGAAGTTTATTTATTAGAAATAAAATCTTTAATATTATAGTTGACACGACTCCACTGCCATGTCCGTATTTGGCTGTCATTATCCCATCTTGGGTTGCTCAAGATTTTCTATCAGGAAAAAAAGAAAAGAAGATGACTATAAGGGAGTATTTGAGGAGCAGCCTTCTGTAGTATTGATCAGGACAGCTGGGAACTTACGGCCTGATTTTGGCTGTATTTTCCACATCACCCACCTCTCTGAGCTTTATAACTAGCTTCCAAGGAGTAACAGAGCAGTCCTGTCAGATCAAGTGCTCTGGGGAAACCGTAGAATGGAGATCTGTGACCTTACTGGAGACAGATGGCTCTGAACCCTTGGCTATTCCCAAGCAGATTTTTATTCGCCCAGCAGATTTTTAATGATTCACTGTACATTATAACCTTCAGGAAGTACGCTGACACCTTCATTTGCTGGATGGCCCTGGACATGAGCAGATCAGAAGTGCTGCCAGGAGACTCTGGATAATACACTTCACACCCAGTCAATACCTCCTCTCTGATGGGGGGGGGTGAAAAACAATTTCTTCATAAGAAATAAGTCACGTTTTTTATGCCATATGGAGAGACAAGGGCAATATCTATCGGCAGTGGTATTTTTCACCAAAGATCCTGGCAAAAGGATTGAATTAGCAATGCTGAGATCTGTTTTATATATATATAGTTAGATAATAATAATTGAAACAATAATTCCACCATTGATTTAAAAATCCTAGGCAGAGCTAATGGCAAATGTGAGAAAAATGTGGGGTGCAGCCAAATCTACAGTTTCATTATTTATCAAATATAGTCTGCTTATGGAGTTATAAGCCTATCTGAGTACATATCTATTAAAATTTTTTATTTCCTTTCAAGGGAAAATTTTGTTTGTCCATCTAAAGCAGCAGGCTGCGAAAGAACTGTCTGCACTTCAGGAACTGTTCTATCCGTCTGCAATCCGGGAGGGTAGCTAACAACTCACCAGCTTTTGAAATGTGGCTAGTGCAGCTGAGGAACTGAATTTCTTATTTAAATTAACTTAAAATTAAATAACCTCATGTGACTAGTTGCTGTCATGTTGGATAGTGCAGCTATGGATTTTGATTTAATATGTTTTGTTTTGAAAATCAAAGAAGTGCATATTAAGAAAATAATTTTTTTGGCAACTCTGGTCAAAGTTTTTCATACCACACACTCAATAGTGAATAGATTTATAAACATTAAATCTAACTAGAGTCGGTTTTTCTTGTTACAATGCAAACGTTTTAAGAGCATGTTCCAGATATGTGAACTTTTTTGGAAATTACAATGAAAGGGAAGGGTGTGCACTTGAATAAAACTTAGTTCCAGAGGGATACGTGGTTAAAAGGTTACATACTGTTTAAATGTGAAAGAAGTTCAACTCTTCATTGGTTAATATGTTTTATATAGGTATTATAAATCTTTCCAGTAAGTTAATTTTGAGGGATCTTTTTCTTCTTACATAGGTTAAAGTGAAAAATGAGAATGTTGCTTTTGCTATGAAGTGTATAAGGAAGAAGCACATAGTTGACACAAAACAACAGGAGCATGTCTACTCAGAAAAGAGGATTCTAGAAGAGTTGTGTTCTCCCTTCATCGTGAAGTAAGTGAGCATTTGGCTCCCAGAATTTAGGATTGTAGACCCTTTTGAATGTTTCCATGCAAGATAACAGAAGAGGAAAAGGAGGCCGTACTCTGAATTCTCCCTCCCTGTCACAGCAACAATACATAAAATGTTAGAAGTTTGAAGTCTGGAGTCAAGAGTTCAGATTTTTTATTCTTGAGTAAATCTCAGGAAAAGTGTGTGTGTGAGAGAGAGAGAGAGAGAATATAAAATTATTGTGGAATAACTTGAACTGATTATTTAATCCATACCTACTACAGAATTTGGGAAGCAAATAATTCATTTGAAACCCTCAGGGGACAGACTGCTGTTGAATTTCTGCAAGAAGTGGCATTTGGGCTCATGTCGGCTGGCAGGGACCTGTAGAGCCTGGTCCTAGCAATGCCCAGATCCTGAAAGATCCATCTCCTAATAGTCACTATTCATCCTTTCCCAGAGTTTGGGAGAGAATTGTGTTATTCTAGGCCACCGCTGTCTTTACTTGTGAATTCATGAGTTAGTGGTGTAGGCCAGTTGAGACATATATTTTCATACAGGTCATAGCCCTAGAGTATAGTTTCAGTGATTTCCAGGTGAAGTAAAGTGCCCTTATAGTGGATAGAATTTATGTTTTTGGATCAAATGCCTTGAGAGAATCTTCCTGCCTATCCATATTCCCACACCCATTTTTTTTTCAACATTAAAAAAGTTGAACCCAGGCAATGCTAACAATAGAGTCATCCAATTATTTTTATATTGTGTTCCCAGAATTTCCCCCCTTTCATCAATAATTCATTAACAAACTATCAGGAGCAGCTTCAGGGTATGAATTAGGTTTTATTCCTATTCTCATTTCCAGCTGTCTGCAAAGTGCCTGGCATATAAGGAAATGATAATGTAATAATAAATGTTAATGACATTTATTGAGAAATTAACATGTGCCAGACACTATTCTAAGCAAAATATATATGTGATATATCATATATAATGTTTAATATATATTTAAAATGTTATATTTATATTTATTTTATATATTATGTATACAGATATATAGCATATATTAAATTAATATATAATTAATATAAAATCAAATGAATACTATATATTCCTCTGATCTTTATGATATAACAGTGCGGTAAATGTTATGATTGTCCTCAAGAGCAATAAGAAAACTAGGCTGCATAGCTCATAAATGGCCGATCAGGGATTCAAGCCTAAGCAGCTTGGATTCAGAGCCCACACTAAGCTGCTTGGAACCAGAGCCCACTCTGAGCTACTTTGCTAAATTGCTTCTGCTGTCTGCACATGATCTGGGTGCCCTGTTGTCACCCAGTGTTAACATAGGGTACCCTGCCCAGGTCCCTCCCACATCAGGATTGAGGCTGTCATTCCTACAGCTTCTGGGAGTGTTGCCAACTGACGACTCTAGCTCGGTCCTTTCCTGGTCATTGCTCTCAGATGAAGAGAGCCACCTTGCCCAAGATCATATTCTGTTTCCAGGTACAGCCTGCAGCCAATGATGGCAGAGCTCCTTGAGGCTGAGGCTTTCATTGAAACTCGAAACTCAATCATAGCCAACTCTCCTGCTGCCCAAGTGTGTCTGTGTGTCTTATTCCTCCCCTGGGGTGGGGGGTTGTTGCCAAGTACACTACCCACTAAACTTACTGCTGATAGGTCTCTGTCTCACAGTCTAGTTTTTGAGACCAACCAGAGGATATAAGACATGGGCATGAAGGGAGCTCATAAAGGAGACATATGAGGAGATCTCTGGGCTTTTGGAGGGAAGAGAGGCCATATTTAGTAGGGGGGAAGATGAGCTGCTGTATCGGGCTCCTGAGCTTCGTCTTGAGGAATGGATAACACTGTTACAGTGAAACTGAGATGAAGAAGGTCAGTCTGTGTGTACAGGGAGAGCAGTCTAAGGAGGACAGTCTAACATGTGCAAAAGCAAGGCAGGAAGAAAGATCAAAGAGCATTCGGTGAGAGGTCCCATGTAGCTAGGGATGTTTGGAATGAGATGAGCACCAGTATTCCAAATGATATTGATGATGTTCTTAAGCAACTTTAAAAAGCTTTTAAAACCAGATTTTTAATAATAACCATGTTTTTATGTGTCTTCACAGATTATATCGTACTTTCAAGGACAATAAGTATGTATACATGCTTCTGGAGGCCTGCTTAGGTGGGGAACTATGGAGCATATTAAGGGACAGGTAATGAAAAAGGATTATAAGCATTAAGCTGTGTTCTCACATCTGGTCTAAAGGATGCTTTATTCACGATCATTTAAAGAGACATAATGAAAGTCATTAAGAAACGGTCCTAAGAAAATATTATCATCTGATAAAATAGTAATGGTGGTATTTTCTTAGCTAACATTGTACTTAGGCAATAGACACCCTATAAGGTAATCTGTCATTTCCATATTAGGGATCACAGAATCCCAGGCCTCGAAAGAGAGTCACATGGTTAGTGCGAGGCAGAGCAGCTGGAAACCCAGATGTTACTGATTCTGAATCTCTACGAGGGAAATGAAGAAAGGGGCGTGGAGTGGTGAAGTAGAGTGAGACTCCTGCAAAGATTCAGTTTTACAAAAGGGGTGGTTTCTGCATAATCGAAACCACAGATGTTTACTGAGTACCACCAGTATGCAAGGCTCCATCGTAGACAGTTGCGGGGGATGGGGGTTCTAGACGATGTAAACTTTCCTAACCAGAAGGATAAAAAGAGTAAACTTTTCCTCCAGTGAGTTTAGATTTTATTTGGGTAGATAACATGATGTGCAGTTTTAAAACATCTTATTATTTAGTGTGTAAACTAAATATGACAGAGAAGTTGGGGCAATTTGTAATTAAATGCCAAATGAGTGTTGCAGTTTGTAAATTCAGAGGAGAGGAAAGATATAAAACTGTGATGAAAGAGGGGAGGACTGGACCTAACTTCTAAAGATGACCAAAATTTGGAAAGGCAGAGAGGAAGGGAAAGGGATGTAAGATAAAACAGGAAAGTTGAGATAGGATTATGTGTCTTTGGGGGTGTTTCACATCAGGATTTGAGTAGAAGACAAGGCCAGTGAAAGAGGTGAGAAGTTAGGTTTGCATGAGGTTATGGAGGTTAATGCCAGGCCAAACATTTGGACAGTGTTACCTGGGCCAGTGGCTCTCAACCTTGGCTTCTGATTACAGTCACGTGGAGAGCTTTACAAACAAAGTAAAAATGCCTAGCCCTAATGCCAGAGGTTATGATTTGGTTCACCTTGGATGGGGTCTAGTAAATGACCTCTCCGGCAATTCTAATGTGCATTCGTGGTGGAGAATCCCAGACCTAGGTAATGGCAGACCTTTGAGCATCTGCCAAGAGATGGATGCATTGTGTTAGGAATGTGTTGTTGGATGGGTCTGAATGGGGAAAACCCAGCAGGGTGCAAAGACTTGCATGATACCTACAGAAACATTTGCTTCCTCCACCTTTGCTTCAACATGCAGATCTGTTAGAAAGGGGAGTTGGTACTCTCTGTTAGGCACTGTGTCTGACTCTCGAAACAACACATTCAGGAAGTCGTAAACCCATTTTACAGATAGGGAACTGAGGCTCAAAACAGCCACACAACTTGCCCGAGGATACGATGATGGAAGAAGCAGGAGTCAAAGCCAGTTTTTTTCACTCCAAAGCCATACGCTTCCACAACTTCATGGCACAAACCACAACCACTTTTTAATAACTCAGTGTGGAAACCCACATGCAATGCCCTCACAGGGCAAGTCTAATATCATCAAGGTGCCCCAAACAGGAAAGAGTTATGACCCCATTTATACATGGGTTATTGTTACATGCTATACCAACAGGAAATGAAAATGATCACTTGAGTCATTTTTTAGTCAAGCAATAAATTACAGAAGTCTGCTTTAAGCTCTCCATTAAAATAGTTGCATTTTCTCCAGAATTTGCCATAAATATCTTAAAAGTCTTGTTTTCTTATGTTTCTATTTTATGTATCCATATATGGATTACCAGAAACTATTGTTGGAATGGAGACATTTTAACTTGAGTGAAGTACTTCTCATTTGCCTCAAGTGTCCCCCTAAATTTCTTTACCATCATCGGTCTAATTCATGGGCGGTACAAAATACTTTTTGTGTTGATGCCCTCCAAAACATTTATATTGTGCAAATTTACCAATGCAATAACTGACACCTGGAATAGACAATAAATATGTGTGTCTAGAGTATTAAGAGAGAAAATGATTTCATTGCAGAGGCAGCTTCGATGAACCCACCTCCAAGTTCTGCGTCGCTTGTGTGACAGAAGCATTTGATTACCTGCATCGACTAGGTATTATCTACAGAGACCTGAAACCAGAAAACTTAATTCTAGATGCTGAAGGTTATCTTAAATTGGTAAGAAAAAAATCTGTAACAGTATCATAAGAGATATTTCTAAATACAAAGTTGTGTCATATTTGCATATTGCTTTTAATTTGGGGGGGACCTGCTATTTTCACCATGGGGGGTATGGCCTGTGACATTGGCACCCTTAACACGGGGAAGTGTTGCGAGCATATTCTTTTTGGCGTAGGAATTTAATATTTCAACCATATTGGTGACTGCAACTAAGGCCTCACCTAATAGAATGCCTTTAATATTGGATTTTGTTAATATTTTTGTTTAATATATTTAAATAGGTTTTAATACATTACTGCTACACATAGGGACGGGCTACAATAAAGAATAAGGAAAGATGATAGTCTGTCTCCTGTCCCAAGATAGCCACTGTCTGTATAGGGAGGAAAATACACATATGAGTGTTGGTACGCTTTTTTTTTTTTTTAATCTTTCTAGGTGATTCTAAAGTACAACCAGGGCTGAGAATCACAACACTAGACTAGAAGCTCTTTGAGGACGGAGACTTTCTTGCTATCCATCTTTGTAATCCTCTGATGCCTAACATGCATCCCTTTGTGGTTATACTACCAGTCACATAAGTTTACTTTCAGTGTGAAACTCTAGGAGAACTGGGCAGTCATGGGGGGGAGAAACCAAGGCACTTTCAACGGAACCAAGCTGAGTTTTCTTGAGTTTATCTTGCCGGTATGTCAAGGACATGAAGCCATCTCTGAATGTAACAGTTACAGAGATATTAAAAGTTTCTCACATCAGGACTTTCATACGTGGAAATAATACTAGCTATCACTCCATAAGTAGTTTAGTATGTTATGTGTCAAGATCTGTGCTAAACATTTTGCAATTAATATATATAACAATTGATGAGGTAGGTTTTATCATCCACATGTTACAGTGAGTAATTTAACCTTAGGAATTAAACTTATTATGTGTAATTGCCAAGCGATTTCTCTCCACAGTAAAGGGGTAAAATAAGTCCTTTCATGTGAAATCTAATGAACTTCCAAGAAACATTTTGATCCATTCAAGCTTTATTTTATCTGTGAAAGGTAGCTTTGAGAACTGGGGAGGTAGTAACACAGGCCTCAATCTCTCCTCTTCTTCACAATTCCTTCATTGGCTATGCCTCTTACAGCTATTTAGGGAAACCCTTTGGAATTTTCTAGAACTAAAACCATCATGAGGGATGCAGACTATCCATTAGGTTCATTCCTTTTTTTTCCAGAACTGTTTTTTAAAAATTGGATAGCATATTTATTATTAATAGCCATGGGGGTCCATAAATATCTCCCCTGTTAGCCAGTGTTATCCATCCAGCTAACTCATTTGCCAACTATCTAAATGAAGAATGACAACTAAAGCCTTTAGAGATTAAAACGTAAATGTTGAATCTTTCCATTTCTAGCTATATATCAAACTAGATATACTGAAATTCTCTCACTACCAAATGTCTAAAAATACTGGATGAAACATGAAAAAGCTGTATTACATGCATGGCTGACTTTATAAGACAACACTGGTACTCCTCCGCGGTTGGGAACCACACTTGAGGAGGAGTATAGCCTAGAACTCAAACAATGAAGCTGCTGTCTTGTGGGCACCCAGCGATCCAAGATGGCTCAGAGGTCTGATTTTAGTAGCTGCACCTAGTTTTGGACCTGGGCAGTGAGGGAAGTTGAATCAGAGAACATTTCCCAGAGCCAGGAATCACACAGATCACACTCTCGGAAAAATGGAAAGCAAGAAAAAAGATCTAATTTATGAAGACAGAGTACTTGCAAGAAAACATGCTTTTCTCATTATTGGGCTCTTGGTAGAGGAGCAAAAGAGTCTCCTTTAAGAATTCTTGGCCATAGGCTTGTCTTCATGGAGATTGGGTGTTTAGTCTTCAAAGATGGAAAACCCCATGCAAGAACTTGAAAATGGATTCATGTTGATAGCATGCCCAACTTTTCAAGAATCAATGTATATTCTGTCTGGATGAAGGTACTCTTAACTCAGGATACAAAGAACTCCCAGGGATAAAGTCCCAGAGAACATGAGCTCACATGTTTTTTTAAATTTTTTATTGTTATGTTAATCACCATACATTACATCATTAGTTTTTGATGTAGTGTTCCATGATTCATTGTTTGTGCATAACACCCAGTGCCCCATGCAGAATGTGCCCTCTTTAATACCCATCACCAGGCTAACCCATCCTCCCACCCCCCCTCCCCTCTAGAACCCTCAGTTTGCTTTTTCTCATGGTTCGTCTCCCCCTCCGATTTCCCCCCCTTCATTCTTCCCCTCTTGCTATCTTCTTCCTTTTTTCTTTTTCTTCTTAACATATATTGCATTATTTGTTTCAGAGGTACAGATCTGTGATTCAACAGTCTTGCACAATTCACAGCGCTCACCATAGCACATACCCTCCCCAATGTCTATCACCCAGCCACCCCATCCCTCCCCCCTCCCCCCACTCTGGCAACCCTCTGTTTGTTTCCTGAGATTAAGAATTCCTCATATCAGTGAGGTCATATGATACATGTCTTTCAAAACATAAAACAAAAAATATATATGAGGGGAAAAAAAGGTACCATGAGCATTATTTGGCAGGCAAATAAGTGCTTCATTATTGGAGTAATCAGATACAAAATGTAAAATAAATCCATCTAACACGCCTTTTAAAAATAAGAGAGGGAATGACAAATGAGTAATGAACAGAGGAAAAAATCTAGTAGGTTTAGAAAATAATAAATAAAACTTCTATTAAGGACTTAAGAATATAATAATTGAAATTATATATTTAAGGAAGTCTCATTAATGGTGGAGCAGCTTCCATTGAACTAATCTTCTTAGTGAGATTAATTATAATATATGTGTAAGAGAGCAACAAAAAATAGACATTTAAACCTTGAAAAAAGGGAACCATGCTGGATGAAAAATCCACATTGCTACAGCTGTTTAAACTGTTCATTTCAGGACACGCCTTACTGTATGAGGCATGGGGATAAATCTTTAGTTAACATCATACCTAACAGTGAAATATTGAACATTTTCCCATTAGATTGTGAACAAGGTAAGAATATTTTCTTTCCACTTTTTTTCAACATTATAACAGAGGTCTTAGCCAATAAAATAAACCAAGAAAAAAAAATGAAAGATGAGATGAGAAGATGAGAAATGGAGAGGTTATCTGTCTTTATTTTCAGACAACATGATTGTTTATGTAGAAAAACCTAAAGGATCTACCAAAGAAGTACTAGAAGGAATAAGCATGATTACCAGTACAAAGTTAATATATAAATAAAATTATAAGTCACTTAAGTCAATATATAAATAAATATTTACTAGCAGTAAATATTACTAGCAGTAAATATTACTAGCAGTAAATATTTATAAATGAAATAAAAATACTATTTATGATAACATCAAAAATTATAAAATAAATTTGAATACATTTAACGTGTAAAAATGTGTAAGACCTCCACACTGAAAACCACAAAATATTACTGAGTAAAAATATATAACTAAATGGTAAGGCATACTGTGTTCGCATATTGGATAACTCAATATTTGATAAGATGTCCATTCTTCCCAGATTAATTACAGATTTAAAGTCATTGTAATATAAATTAGAGCAGGTGCATTTTTAGAAACTGAGGCATTTACTCTAAAATTTACACAGAAACTCAGAGTTTAGAAAAGTTAATAACCACTTTGAAAAAAGAAGAACAAAACTGAGGAATTTATTGTATCTGATACTATAAACAACAGTAATCAAGGCAGTGTCATAACAGGACAAATAGCATAATCTAACAGAATAAAGTCCAGAGATAGACATAGAATCAACTGATTTTTAGTAAAAAGAGAAAAGCCAGTCTTCTCAATAGACAATGCTGAAACAACTGGATATGCATATGTGGGGAAAAAAATGAACCTGCTCCCACCTCACACGATATAGAAAAATTAACTCAACATGGTAATATGGTAATATTTTCACAACATGGGGTAGGCAGAGGTTTCTTAGAATACAGATAGTATTAATTTGTATTAATTATAAAAATTTCAAGCTACTATAATAAAAATATCATAGACTGGGTGACTTAAATGATAAACATTTATTTCTTACAGTTTTAAAGCCATGAAGTCCAAGATCAAGGTGCTGGCAGATCTGGTATCTGTCTGGTCAGGACCCACTGCTGGGCTGGCAGAGAGCTGCCTTTTCATTCCTTCACATGAGAGAGAAAGACACACACACACACACACACACACACACAGAGTTTGGCGGGAGCTCTTTTCTTATAAGGGTTCTAATCGCATCATGAGGGCTTGACCTCATGACTTGGTTACCTCCTAAAGGCTCTACCTCCATATTCCATCACACTGGGGATTAGGGTTTCAACATATAAATTTTGGGGAGACACAAACATGCAGTCCATAATAATTAGACTTCATCAAAATTAAAAACTTCTGATAATTAAAATACATTAGGGAATGAATTGTCATGCCATAGACTGGGGGAAAATATTTGCAATATATATTTATATGACAGAGGACTTGATTGTATTGGGAAATATACAAATAACTCCTACAGCTCAATAATAAAAAGACAACCCATTTATTTATTTATTTATTTTATTCTTATGTTAATCCCCATACATTACATCATTAGTTTTAGATGAAGTGTTCCATGATTCATTGTTTGTGCATAACACCCAGTGCTCCATGCAGAATGTGCCCTCCTCAATACCCACCACCAGGCTAACCCATCCTCCCACCCCCCCTCCCCTCTAGAACCCTGTTTGTTTTTCAGAGTCCATCAAAAAAGACAACCCATTTAAAAAAATGGTCAAAGATCTTGAAAAATCACTTCACAAAAGAAGACATAGGAATGATTAATAAGCCATTAATAAGTCATTATCAAGGAAATGCAGATTAAAACCACAAAGAGGAACCATTTCATAGCCACTAAAATGACTACAATTTAAAAGACTGACAATACCAAGTGTTGG